ACATGTCTACGTCACGATGTGGGAAGATTTGCATAACACCGCCCAAATGTTCACGCAAAGAAAGAAGGCGTAACTTTTATTCTCGCTGTAGTATTTGTTGCGAATCAGCTCATGGGGAAATATGAATAATTAATCATAACTAGTTATAATTAATTATAAATATTTAGATCCGCTGTAGATATTTACTTGACCTCTCAGGGTCAACTGTCTATACACAAAATAATGTTATTTTTAGCAACATCATATGTCCCCTTTAATATTCAAAATTTCGCTTCCGTATAAACAACTAAAATGAATTACCATATGATCTATAATTAAACTGACTTCAGTATGCAATTCAATTTTCATATGCAATGTTGGTGGTAGGGATTCTTCACTGTAATCCTTGTGGAAAGTGTGCACTTGTGTGCGGTTTAAAAGAGCTGCTCTGCACATCTCTTGCACTTTCATGTCCTCTGTAATCTGAAAAAGCTCTTTTGCAAGGTCTAATGGATAATGTGGGACTCAGGAGAACATACTTTGTATTTTTACACGACTCTCTGGAAAACTCGATTCTGATTGGTCATTCGCAGCATTCAGATATTTTTGTACACAGGCAATGATGTACAACTGACCACTCATCCAAGCTATCTATGTTTCAAATTTAACTTGTGTTCTGTCTCTCCATGGTCTCTACAAGAAGGCTAATGAAATAATCAATATTTAATGTCCATTTATTTATTTATATCTATTAATATTTAAATATCTTCAGGGTGATCCTAATCACTTAATTTCAAAAACTGTAGAAGCTGTCTAAGGTACTACATAGACACAAAGAAGACCTTGAATAAATAGAAGAAACAACTTGTTGCTGACTACATTTCTGAGACTATGTCTAGTCCCCCATACCCCACCACCCGTTTGAGGAAAATATTTACCAAATGTATTGAATGGTTCTACTATTTTAGTCATTATACATACCACTGCATAGTTTTTCAATTATAAAACAATAGACAGAATCTTAGACATCGTGTAAGTGATTTATTTGAGCACTAGAAAAATACAATAAGAATATTTTTTGAGTAATAAAAAGAAATAAGAAAAAAATAATACTTAACTATGTATGCCAAGTACATACTGTGATTGCTAGACATACAGCATTCACACTGATAGCTGCTCATACAGTCAGTAATCACATGCTGATGGCCGGTCATACAGATGGTAATTATACAGATGGCCGGCCATATAGTCAATAATCACACTCTAATGGCCGTTCATATTGACCGCATTCACACTGATAGCTGTCATACAGACAGTAATCACACGCTGATGTGCGGTCATACAGATGGTAATCATGCAGAAACAGCCACATTCCCCACAAAACACACACACATATATGAAAAATGTTGAAAAAATAAAAAATAATAATTATCTGTGCAAAAAGCCGATCGCTAAGTTACACCCCCAACAGATGACAGGTGTGTCACAGTGTGCGTCATGAGCCGTCACGAGAGAGGGCCAGAATTCAAATAAACAATATTCCGTGTATCTTTGACTTTTTTTTTAGTGGATGGTCTCATTCTGTTTGTGACACTGCATGCTACAAAACCATGTTGCTTTTTACTACCAAGATGCAGTTTTTTGAGAGTAAGCTATTCCATAACGGATACAAACAATAACTCTCCCCGAAGAAATGATAAGTAAACAAAGGAATAACCATCTATATTACAACGTTATTGTTTCGTTGGGAATTACCATCCATATTACAACGTTATTGTTTCGTTGGACTAAAAGTTCTCCATGGGATGTTGTTCAGTGGACCCTTACCTTTCAAACTAAACCGGGATTTACAGCTGTGGATCCGTTTATGACTCGTTATTACGATGAATCTGGTACGTACTGCGTTTTGATTATGCATGTTTTGATGTGTACTGCTTACACAAATTTAGCAAATACATTCTTTATAAGCTTTCCATTGAAAAGCAGCGATCTATTTTCGATGCTTGAGGCTTAGACCTTTAGAATGATATATAGTTTGTCAAGATTAATTATTTCCCTTTTCATGTAATCTATTCGTAAACATTGACACGTGCAAACAAAGAGCGTTCAGTGCGTCGGCGTCCAGGTGCGGGTTAACAGGTTAAAAGCATTCTGATATCTATATGTACCTTTAAATGGTAGAGGTGGAAAATGTCCCTACCAACTAAATCGGAAGTGTCCCAACCAATATTTGGTCCCAAACTACTGAGGGTTTCACATACTTTTTTGAGGTCTCATTGGTGTCATTGTAGACTTTTTAACTCTCCTAAAGTCACCTCTGTTCATGAGCTGGTTAAGCGGAATATATATTGCCTTAAGTACCAGAAGTTGTGAGTTCAAATCTGGCTTAAATTTACAAGTCAAAGGCCCCGATTATGCTTATTTATGTTCCTAATTTTGTTTAGGGGGTCTACTAGAATTGGTTTATATGGTTTATATGATTTAATGTTCAAAAACATTTTTTTTTACATTGCTGCAGTACCTGTTTTCACCCTCTTTCTGAACATTCTATTTTAGTTTTGTTTTCTTTAAAGCCCACCTTCCGAAAAGCCCAATACATGGTGCAGGGCTCTACGCTTATTTTTCTTTTTAGGAGCACTTGTGCTCCTAACTTGAAAAATTTAGGAGCACAGTCAAAAATTTAGGAGCACCTTCTAATCAATAATCCAAAATTTGATCAAAAATTTGCCTTCCCATTACGAGGTGATATTTGACTCCTTAAAGTGATTTATTTTGTTTTTACCTTTGTAATGGCATTTTTCCTAACTTTATTAAAAGTATGTAATCTTTTATGTCAAATTTAAAAAATATATATATTTTATAAGCTTTTTACAAATTCTTATTAAAACCACAGAATTAGAACAAGTAGAATAAGAAGAATAAGTTACTAATCAAATGAAATCAGTATTAAAATTAATTTGTACAGAGGTGGCCAAAAGTGGCATGTAGGTGTATTTTCAGACATTTAATGAGGATCAGAGGTGGCATGAGAGCAATTAAATCCATAAATTCATGTTAAGATTAATGTTTTAAAAAATGTTCAATATAGAAATATTAAATGATTTAAAGAACTGAAAAGATACTTTAAAAATGAAACAAACTGCCAGCAGGTGGCGACAAGTCACTGATTTTATCACTGAATCATTCATTCAATTGATTCATTCGAACGGCTGATTCATTCAGGAATGAAGCAATGGACAGTATTTATGAATGGGTAATCATGAATCACTGACTTACAAGATTCGTTTAAAAATGCAGTTCATTCATAAACGAGGCACCGCTGTGTTTAAATGGAGATGCGCAGCGGCTGAGCTGTGACTTTTTCAAACTATTTTCGACGACGAAATAGAGCAAAATCAGACAATAGTGTTATCAGTCGCAAATGCGACTGAAAGGGTCGCACTGTAGAGCCCTGTGGTGACATAGCTACATTACAGAAATAATGTGAGGACTACAAATGAGGTGTTTAAGACGTGTTTCCTGTTGAAACAATTAACTCCCTTTTAACTCTGTAGATTGTTTGCATGCACAAACAGCTATATTACATAGTACAGGTAAAGTAACATAAAGCATAATAGGTCATCTTTAAAATAAATAAATAGAAAATAAATAAATAACATCCGTTGGCCAGCACACTGTGTGCCAAGCATGACCACCCTCAGGTTTGCCCATGACCAGAGAGAAGAATAATACTTAATTTAATGAACATAAAAGTATTTAACTATAGGTAAGCGGATGATTCAAAATAAAATAAACTCAGAATGCATTTACAGAATCGGTCAGCTGTCATATATAATATTGTGGGGCTGAGAAAAGTATACAAAATGTGTCTTCTGATAAGAGAGAATAAATGTTATTTTCTCTATATCACCAGATGTATGTCCACGCAATGACGTTTCTCAACATCACCATCCTGATCAGGGTCCTGTCATTCACTGTTTTAATAGCTGGTTTGTTTACAAAGATTATAATCTTGCCTTAATCATTTCCCCTGCCTCCTTGCAATATGTCCTTGTTTTCAAGGCAAACCTATGCCCTTGCTAAGATCTATGTTCTTAAATTATTAGATCAAGGCCATTCCTGACATTGTCATTGAATGTAGGCCTAGTTGATTCGGGTCTCTGTCCTTGGTGCTTAAAACAGATAAAGCGCTAAAGGCACTCTCCATGGTGCTGCAGTGATCTTATGTGCTTTCTGTATGATGCAAAAGGGAAAAAAAACACCTTTTGCCTGGTTGGCTAATACCAGTGACCTGATTGGCTGGATATCTGAAAAGAGGAAGCGGCGACAGCCGACGTCATATAGCCAATGTAGACGTCATAACGCACAATTAAAACCTCCATCCACTTCATACAGCCCCGAGTATACCTTGTGTTGTCATAGATAAAAACAGTGTAATCTGAAAACAAAGTAAAATCGCCTTTGCCTCACGGATAACAAAGGCCACGGACACGCCACAGCCCTTTGTGATGATTAGCTGACAATTGATATTCATTGCACGCGCTCTCCAGCCTCCTGAGCCACCATTGCGGTTACCCTCTGACTAAATCCCTTCTACACAATCTCTACCGTTTTCAGAGATTCAAAGACATTGCATCGACTATACGTAATTGCATAAAGTTAAGTTAACAGTGCAGCGATACTGAGCAAGCGTCAGGCACTGCTACAAATGAATCCTCTTTCTCTGCATCTGAGAAAATGCAACGATAATCTATGGTGCGATGCCATTGTGAGGCATCGCTTTAATTTCGTATATCACATAGTAGATCAATGCTAATGCCCACCGCAAACGCCCATTTGTTTGGGAGAAACTCTCAATTCACTGGCATTAGTACTAAAATGAAACAGTTGATTTATATCATCACCGAAAGTTTTTTTTTGTGTATTGACGACACAGGAAGAGAGACCAAAGTTTTATCTTGTAAAATAATCTGTCTTAAATTGTAATTAAAAATATAAATGAGGTACTTTAAGTCACTCACCATCAGATCCGCAAAGTTAGGGTCCAGCTTTAGTGCAATAGTATCACAGTCGGCTCTGATGTGGCCATCTGGCGCGTGGCCCTTGTGCACGCGGAGAGAAACGGCATTCCGACAGGCGCTGAGGGGGGGTCATTCTCCAGCAGGAGAGGCTGCAGAACATCCGAGAAAAAGCAGAAAACAAAGCGAGCATCACCATTCCATTCCTCGTTAAAAGTCAGCTCAGAATTGATGAACTTCAGTCATTTGCGGCGATTTCCGTTGGGCACGTGCGCATTCGCCCTGACGTAAGTCTTTAGAAATATCACGTGAAACGCTAAAGCACACGCATTAGAGAAAAAGAACAGCACGACCTCATCACAGGGTAGGCAGTGTAAAGATGGTTTTAAAACAGTCTTACTGCCATCTGAGAGCCCTAAGAACGGGTTAACACTCTCGTGTCTCCAAAATAATAATCCTATGACGAGCAAACAAAGCCAACACCCCTTACCTTATACCAAAATGGCACACTCGAGACTTAATCGGAAAATGTTTTTAAATGAACACAGGAGTATGAATTCATGAGCTACCATATTTTGTGAATATCACTTACCGTATCAGAGCGAGATATAGGCTACTATCTAAACGTAACATTTACTGCATATATCCTTACCTACTTTAAAGAGAGCAACTGGTGTCGTACCCCATCTTTACGTCCCATTATCTGATAGACTTGACGAGCGTGAGCGCATGTAATATACTCCATCTCTAAAGGAAGACAAATATCAGGTCTTGGGATGTGAACCGAGAACCGAAGAACCGGTTCCATTTTTCAAATAAAATAGCGGAACCAAATTATTTACATGACGTTCGGTTCCGTTAATGGTTCTCGAATCTGCATTGTTCCTCCGATGCAGAAGGACCACCGTAGTGAAATACTCTGACAGTGTTCCCCGTACTACCATGCACCGCAACACCGCCACTGAATCTTTACAGCGTGAGACACACAGCGCGACCAGTGTTTAACGAATGACTCTTATGAGCCGGTTCTTTTAGTCAGTCAAAAACATACAATACAAGATGCTTAGTCCGATTCTCGAGCAAATGACTCTCATGGGTCGGTTCTTTATTGCGAATCAAAACACTTTTGAATCATTGAGATGTTACTGAATTTATATGACTCACTTAATGAACGCCAAATTATTAGTTTCGTCATGTCCGACTCGAAATGAACTGTTAGTGTTGTTGGATTTAAGGCTTGTGCAGGCTACTGACATCTTGTTCACATTATGTTTTGTTGTAATCAGTAATTTGTAAAAACAAATGAATAAATTGAATGTTACCACATTTAGGATTCATTTGTTACCCCTAAAAAGTGTGTGAAAAGTAATTTCTTAGTATTTGTGAACAGACCTTTTGCATTAATTGTATGGAATGTAATTTTGATTTATTGTAGTCTGTTGAAAATCTGTTGTTGGCCATAAATTCAGTTAGAAATCGATTTATTTTTCCCCTCAAATATTTATTCATCAAAAGTACTTAAATAATTAGTTAATTGGGCCGTTAAGGAACCCGAATCATGTCTGATGATGGCCCCTATTAGTGGGAAGAAAAGTAAAAAGTTTCTTGTGGGTTGAATTTTTTGAATTTTGGAAGTTTTCATTTTAGCGTGGGATCTACCAATCTGTAGGAGTGTGTGAAAGCTGAATGACATGTGTCGTGTGGCTGAGAGAGGCTACTGAGGCTGTTGAGCGCGCGCGTGGTTGAAGTTACCCACTGCAGAGGTGGAAGTGGTTGTAACCGTCTGTGCTCGCGGGCACAGCACCGCTGCAGCGCTGATTTAAAGAGACAACCTACCAGGTTTTACCCTTCGCAAGCAGCGCGTTTTGGAGAATCACATCGGCAGGTTTCACCCCACACTGTTATTGCTTAAAAGCCGCACTGAAAATAGTGCGCGTTTCTTACTCATCCTAAGATTTCTATGCGTTTGTCTGTATTTGCATGTGTGTGTATGAATGAAAGAAAGAGAATTGCATTTGCAATGTTCATTTTATGTTAAAGGTGTACTTAATAATGTTCTGCTAATTTAAAAAGTTCATACTAAAAGAACTGACCATCACTTTATAACATTTCTCAAAAACCGGGTTGCTCCGTCATGGTTGAAAAAGTTTGCTCTATATAGTATGACTGTCGGTAGTATAAATAAAATTTGGATGTATTACATCTGCCATGTTATAGTAAAGTGTCCATTGAATGCGCATTCCACAATCTTGGCGGAAATAGTAAGTCATCCGGGTATTTACCGGGTGTTTTTCGAATAATATGAATTTGGACCACTACTTTTTTGGCATACTGTTTTTCGCATTTTACAGACCTTGTCATTATAGAAACAAGTGTGCAGCCATCTTTAGAATATTGACTTTGAACTTCAGTTTTTGCGGTAGCTCTGTATATTTCTATAGCATCACTGCTTAAAGGATGGTGTTTTTTGCCCTACCCTACCTTTTTGAACCGGAGTTCACAGTCGAAGAGCTAACCGCGCATGACCTTTCCAGTGTGATTACGTAATGCGTGAATTTCGGCTGGGATCGTGTAGAGCCCATTGAAACTGTAATTTGGACCTTCAACCCGTTGTCCACCATTGAAGTCCATTATATGGAGGAAAATCCTGGAATGTTTTCCTCAAAAACCTTCATTTATTTGCGACTAAAGACAGAAAGACATCTTGGACGACATGGGGGTGAGTAAATTATCAGGACATTTTTAGTTAACGAAAGTTATCATGTGCATTGTAATGTTCGAAGGGGATGTCATAACAAATGTCAGTATACCAGGAAGATTTTAAAACAAGCGATTCATTCATAAATTTGTACGACCTTATCTTCACCCTGTGGAAATACAAACCAACAAAGACAATGAGTGCAGTGCTGAAAAGCGCCCAAGCTACATATATGGAAGTAAGCATATTCGTATGCAGTGATAGTGAAATAAAAAAATAATAATAATGAGCAATATCCCACAACAACCCACACTTCCCATGTCACCAATAACATGCAAAAACAATATTAAATATATAAAGTACTTTTATATAAAATAACGCCATAGAAAATCTGCAATAAAATAAGCTTACATGCTTGGGGGGGAAAATGTCAAAGTATTCATATCCACAGTTAGACTCAAGTAAGTAAAAGCATCTTCTAATTATCAATAGGCTACTCCGCTGCTCAGAAAAATAAGATAAATTGAACAGAGACGCCAGAAGATATGTGATGCCACTTTTATTTCTGGATTAAGGTTAGACGCAGAATACAGACAAAGATAGACATATCTATATATATACCAAAGATGTGTTGTAGTTGTTTTTTTCCTGAGGTGGTACAACTGTCACTCTTTTCAAATTCCTCTTAAAACTATGACCACCCACTTGTTTTCTACCATGTTAGGTCTCAGTATTGCAATGCCGTGGGGCGTGTTTTTACCCTGTCACCCACATTGCTAAATGAAAACAGTCCCCATCTAAAGACTTACCTGTTTTATCAGCAGTGGAACAGCTGCTAGCTTTCATGCAATGCCCTCATGTTTTTTTCACAAGTGTGCCTGTTGTTTTTTTGTTGTTGTTGTTGTTGTTGTTGTTTTCTCTGAGACTCATTATATGCAGTTACACTACAATATTATTCAATATGGTTATATTAGCATGCTAATTGAAATTTATAAAGCAATTGCCCTAGAGAATGCTGAAAGGTCCCTTATCCAGTCGTTGCTGTGTTAAAAGCGTAACTAGCCAAGCGTAATTAAACCCCGTTACTTGGTTTCCATGCCAACAAGTCTACTCTTAACTGTTTTCAATTTAAGACAAGATGAAATAATTCCTCCAAGGAAAATTCAATGTATTGCATTGTGAAAATAGATATTAAATAAAATGACCTATCAGACACCTCAAAACAAAACTTTCTGCCTTGGGTCAGGAATTGTCTTAATGCATGAACGTCAGTAAAACTAAAGTAGTAATGGCTGAGTGAAAGTTTATTGTGTAACTTTGGTAAAAGCACAAATTTAGGTTGGTTAGATGGTTAGAATTTTAGAATTTCTCTTATACTTATAAGATTATTCCAGGTCTACACCACTCCTTCCAGTTCAATTGAAATTTCATTTGGATGAGCACAGTTGGATCGATTGAGACATTTACATGAAGGCTTTTCAGTCCTATTGAGCCATCAATCTGATTACAAATGGATTATTCGGTTGCATGTAAACATAGCTATTGATGCATACCTAGCTAGCACATTGTAAAAATCAGTTGTTGACTTTGTTAATGTATGTTTTATAGGAACTAATTGCCTTGGCTTAACTTGATGGTTTTGACTATAGTAAATGCAGAAAAGAGTCAGTGCGCATGACAGATCGAACTGTGAAATTGATACACGAAGATTAAATCCAAACTGTTTACTAGTCAAGTTTATCTATTTACTATAAAATGTTGTCCTTAATACCAGCTACTTTTGACTAGCAAAGGAAGAAGCAAGTACTAAAGGCTGATGCATGGATGGATGAATGGATAATAAATAATAGATAATAAAAATTCCATCCTAACTTCCTGCTTCGATAAGAAACCATGTCACACAAGAGAGAAAACTACAACAAGATTTCCTGGGGTCTTGTAATCACATCACAAGTGTCATATGCCTATTTAGAGTGGTCTGTGATATAAAATAGCATAATTGGGGACATATTCTTCTCTACTACAGAGTATTTAATCTTTAATAATATGCAAGAGTCAGCAAGATGAGGGGCAGATGTCTCTCCACTGAGTGTTCACATTTAACCCACAGGAGGCAAAGTAAAATTTAACAGTAAGCTGGGAAAATATTAGTTATCTCAATTTAATATTCCATGGCCTGACTCCTCCCCATGAGGCTGCGACTGAGTGACAGCATTGTCTCAGACAGGAAGTGTCTGTCAACGGTCACATGTGATTTACAGGTATGTTAAATATTTGTCAGCATCCGTTTGGAGAGGCTGCCTCAACCAATCACTGTTCTCTAGAAACCTGCATTGTGCTACTGTTAAAATACAATAGGCTGGTGACTGCTGTTATGACAGACTGGATGGGGCATCAACCACTTTCTGTGAGTGTCACATGCCAGAATGAAATCACGCTGTGGATACAGATGACTGTACAAGCTTCAGTGGAGAAGGGTGCAAGTTAAAAGTTAGTATAAAACCCAAATGCACACTTATGAAATTACCTTAATTATGTTTCAGTTGCACCTTAACAATGGTTTAATGGTATTAACATAAAGGTTGACTGGCCTAATAACAAGCTAAATGTCATTAGCATGAGAGATACTTGATGTTTTGTTCATTATCAGCAGCATAACAGTATTGTGGATGCATTGTTATTTTAGGATTTTGGCTGGAGAAAGTGCTAAATGTTGGGCAGTGAGCCAAAGTGATGAATGTACAATAACTAGCTGGTGGCAGCACTGTGAGTGCATGGGAGAGGAGAAGAGCCTTTTTCAGAGTGCTTGTTTACCTGACAGAATTTGTCAGATTTACAATGGTTAAAGTTGGCATTGGGCAAAATTCTGAGAAAATACATTATTCATACATTCAAAATGTTGGACCAGTACTTTTTATTTATTTAGCAATTTAGCAAGGATGCATTAAATCACTGAAATTGACATTTATAATGTCTTTCTAAATAGATTTCTATTTCAAATAAATGCTGTTCTTTTGAACATACTATTCATCAAAGAATACTGAAAAAA